TGAAATTGTATGTCCTTACTTCTGAGTATGGCCACAAAAAGTGTCTCTCTGGTTCACCAGTAAATAACCTAAACTGGAGAACCTATTTAAAGAAGCTGGATGTGGCTTGAGTAGTTCTTTTTACATAAGGCAATCTGTTACTTAGATTATTTAGTAAAGTATTTAAACCCTCTTCTAGCAACTTAACATTTAGTTTTCAGAACAAGACACATGGAGTCTACTGTTGGAAAGCTACAGATGGGAAATGGGTTGAAAATGTAGGCCTACAAATGTGTGTATTTCTGTGGATGGGGCAGGAAAATTAGTCTGCTTGGTCATATGCCTCATATGTTCTTGGTAGCTTCTCAATTGCCACATAGTCCTTCACAGAAGGAGTGCTTTAAATGGCCTAATTTTCAGGGGTCAGCAACTTACAGCCTGTAGAGTTGACAACCTAGAGCTCAGGGGTCAACAAACAGTGGATCTGACCTGCAGATGTGGGGCTTTGGCTTCATGCACTTTCTCTGTGCTGCCACTGGGACAAGCATTGGCTTCAGGTGCTCTCCTAGTGACACTGCAGGGGCAAGCTGGGTCTTAATGCTAGCCCACTGGCCCCTGACTTGGGGGTGGGTCATTCTGCCTTGCAGCTGGAAAAGGGGTAGGCACCTGTGACCTAATTCACCTTAACATGATTGCTGAAATAGGGAGTTGCTTCTTTCCTTAAGGGAAGCATGGAAAAGAGGTGTGAGCAATGGTCTGGTTTTTCTTTTCTCAGAAGACCTCTGTTCCTATATGTAATACTGCATGGGCATTTAAAGTAAGCATTTCTGCATGTGGCTGATATATAAAACATAAAGCAGATACATTGAAAAATAGAGGTTTCATTGTACTGATTGTCACAAAAGAGACTTCCCTTCACTGATTATTTTCCAACAGTATATAGAGTAGTACATACTATACTAAACATACATTGCAGACTCTGAGCTGTCTTAGTCTTTGGGGCTAGGGACAGAAATTACACATAAACTGGTATAAGCGATCAGAACCAGTTAAAACCTGTCACAACAGAAGTTCAGTGCATGTAAACTGCTTTCAAAATGGCCAAAACTGTTTTAAGATAAACCTGGATGAATGTAGTATCAGATTTAACTGATAATTTAGGTTCAATCAGTTTATTGAACTTCTGTCCCAGATCCCCTCCAGATTCAAGCTAAGTCACAGTCCCACAGCATCCCAGGATGCTTTGCACCTTCCCTGCAACACCTCCTGCCCCCTCACATGGTGGGTGGGCTAGCCTTGGGCCAAGCTGTTTGCTCCAGCTGAGCTGGGAGGCATGCTCTAGTGACCCCTGGCTTCTGGCCTGGGCCACTGAAGGCATATGACTGCATTGCCAGAATCAAAAGTGCATGTTGGTTGTCTTGCTTATTGGTTACATATATGTAGTTTAGATTAACCTGCAAAGATTAAATTGATTCAGCCTTGGGCTTTTGACTGTCTGTACTTAGCCAGGGTACATATTTATCCTGTCTGCTTTGCAAACTGTGAAGACTGCAACCTTGGCTTGTGATGTGTTTGTTTGATGGTCTCTGTGTTTTGGGCATGTGCTCTGAGAAGCTGGTAGTGTTGCTAGCTGAGTAATTGCTGATTGCTGAGTGAGTGCTGCCTGCATGTGGCAAAAGTCCTAACAAGGGGGCAGAGCCAGTCCAGGTCCAGAAGAGCATAAAAGGAGAGTCCTTGAGTGACCAGGGAACCAGCAAACAGGGGCAGGGCAAGTAATTTGTAGGCAGTTCAGTGGTCTGTTTGCGGGTCAGTTTGTGCCACCTCCCATTTGAGAGGATAGCCTTTCAACTTGGTGTGAGGAAGCAGGGAAAAAGGAACCCTTTGGGGCCAAGGAACAGTAAACAGGTCAGCTTCTAGGTGAGTTCACTAAGGAAGGTGTGCTTGGAAGAAAGGCAGTAAGAGAAAAGAGGCAGATTAAGAGACTCAGGGAAATGGCTGGAAGACATCACAGTACCAGAGCCACATTTACTGCCTCTGCTTGCACCTGTGAGGTATCTGTCTAGGCAGGACCGCTGACCACTGAGGTTTCCATCCAGGTTCGGGTTTGGCTCTGTGGGACTGCAGCTTGCAGGTCCCTTCCAGTAATGACCAGGTCGGGGAGTGCCTGCAGCGTGAGCAGTGCCTGCTGGTGGTGTCTTTCAGGGAACAAGCAAGAGAGATACAGGAGGTGGTGAGGTTCCAAAGCATTCTCCTCCATGAATTCATCAATTTGAAGCTGGAAGAGACTTCCAGGACTGTGGAGGAAGAACTGCCAGAGGCAGTGCTAGAGAAGGGAAAAGACATGAACTACCATGAAAGTGGAAATTGGAACCTTGTAACCTCTGGCAGCAAGCAGAAATCTTCATCTTCACCTGCAGCAGTTCATCTGGAGAACAGATATGGAGCCCTAGCAACTAAGGCCAAGGAGCATTTTCCATTGGTGGAGGAGGACAAGCTAGGCCTCCTCAAAGTGGGAAGGATTGAGGCCACCAAGAAGAAGCAACAGGGAGTGATGGTTGGAGACTCCCTTCTGTGGGGAATGGAGAGGTCCATCTGCCAACCTGACCCTTTGTCTCAGGAAGCCTGCTGCTTCCCCAGAGCCCATATCCAAGATGTCATGGAAGGATTACCGAGACTCATCCGGCCCTCTGACTAGTACCCCATGATGCTCATCCATGTGGGCACCAATGATACTACCAGGGGAGACCCTGAGCAAATCAGAAGTGCTCTTGGTGAAGGGGACAGGGGCTCAGGTGGTATTTTCTTCGATCTTTCTGGTCAAGAGAAAGGGTCCAGGCAGGAGCAAGTACATCCTGCAAATCAATGCATGGCTGCACAGGTTATATCACCAGCAAGACTTTGGCTTCTTTGACTGTGGGATGATGTTCCAAGAAGAAGGATTGCTAGGAAGAAATGGGATCCACCTGATGAAGAGAGGGAAGAGCATCTTCACTGACAGGCTCATTAACCTAGTGAGGAAGGCTTTAAGCTGGATTTGTGGGGGATGGAGACCAAAGCCCTGTGAGGAAGTGGGTGAACTGGAGGAAGAGCAAGCAGGAGGGGGCCACAGGGGAAGTGTTCTCATTCTTCCTGAGAAATTATGGCAATCAACTACTTACCTTAAGTGCCTGTACAAGGATGCACGGAGCCTGGGAAACAGGCAGGAAGAATGCAGAGTCCTTGCACAGTCACAGAACTATGGCATGACTGGAATAACAGAGACTCAGTGGGATAGTTTGCATGAGTGGAGCCCTGTCATGGATGGGTATAAACTGTTCAGAAAAGACAGGCAAGGGAGAAGAGGAGGAGGAGTTGCACTTTATATAGCAGAGCCATATGATTGCTCAGAGCTTCAGTAAGACGCTGGAGACAAGTCTGTTTGAAAGTCTCTGGGTTAGGGTCAGAGGGGAAAGCAACAAGGGTGATGTCCTGGTGGAGGTCTGCTAGACCCGGAGGAGGAAGTGGTGGCTGAGACTTTCTTCAAACAGTTAGCAGAATTTTCCCAATTAATCACAAGCACTGATTCTCATGGCAGAATTCAATCACCGTGACGTGGTGGAAGGGCAGTAGTGCAGTGTGCAAGCAATCCAGGAAGTTTTTGGAGAGTGTTGGGGACAACCTCCTGCTGCAAGTGTTGGAATAGCCAATTAGAGGCCATGCTGTTCTTGACCTGCTGCTCACAAACAAGGAAGAATTGCTGGGGAATGTACTAGTAAATGGCAACTTGGGCAGCAGCGACCATGAGATGATTGCAAAGTCCTGAACTTATGACTGAACAATCCCATTCACTGATACAGGCTGGGAACTGACTGGCTGGGCAGCAACTCTGCAGAAAAGGACCTGGGCGTTACAGTGGACAGCTGTAAATGAACCAGCAATGTGTCCTGTTGCCATGAAAGCTAAAGGCATACTGGGCTGTATTGTTAAAAGTTTTGCCAGAAGATCAAGGGAAATGACTATTCCCCTCTATTCAGCACTGGTGAGGCCACATCTGGAGTACTGTGTTCAGTTTTGGGCCCCCACTACAGAAAGGATGTGGACAAATTGGAGAGAGTCCAGTGGAGGGGGTTGAGGCACATGATTTTTGAGGAGAGGTCGAGGGAACTGGGCTTATTTAGTCTAGAGAAGAGAAGACTGAGATGGGATTTAGTAGCAGCCTTCAACTCCCCGAAGGGTAGTTCGAAGGAGGATAGAGCTAAACTGTTTTCAATGGTGGCAGATCACAGAACAAGGAGCAATGGTCTCAAGTTGCAGCAAGGGAAGTTTAGGTTAGGTATTAGGAAAAATGTTCTCACTAGGTGGGTGGTAAAACACTAGAACAGGTTACCCAGAGAGGTCATGGACTCTCCATCCTTGAAGGTTTTTAAGACCTGGATAGACAAAGCCTTGGTTGGGATGATCTAGTTGGGGACTGTCCTAGGGTGTTGGACTAGATGACCTCCTGAGGTCCCTTCCAACCCTAATTTTCTATGATTCTGTGGACAACCAGTGTGAAAAGTTTCCTGTTGTGCCAGCGAGACTAAGTCCTACAATTTTTATTTCACACCATCCAAGGGTCCAAACACATACAGTGAAAAATTAATCTTTTGGCATTTTTTGTGGCTGTTACCTCAGAAGGGTATTTCTGAGAGGACAGCTGCAGGATATAAAAAGGTGTTTGGAGTTCCTTTTGAAAAAAAACACTTTTGAGATAAGATAGCAAGAGGTAGAGCAAGAAGTTACAGATTTAAGACACATGGTAAAACTTTATTGAGCCAGCTAGGCTGCAATAACCTCTTTGCTGTGTGTCATGGTATTGCCAACAATTTCACAGGATTCCTTGTACAAGTGTTACTCTTTTGCAATAAAGTATTTGCAGTACTCAGTCCTGTGCACCCCCGCTGATCTTGAGATTTTTAATAACAGTCTCTTCTATGTTTCTGTTACGTGCCTCTGTGCATGCTTACACTTAAAACATGCATGTGTGTTTTCTCTCTTTTTAGCTGTAGCCAATCAAGCAATAAAAGAAGACACTTTAGTTCTCAAGATTGGCTCTGTTTCTATGGCTCCCCAGGCTGACAACCCTCTTAGCAGAGCTGTTCTCCGAAAAGACATTTACCAGTAAGTATTTTTCTTATATCCAAACTCACAGATATTTCATTTGAGGGGAAGTTAATTGATCAATAAAACTTGGGTGCGTGCAGCCTGTAAAAATACTTTTCATTTACAGTCTTTTGATATTGAAGACCAGGTTTTTCTGATTTTCTTCACTTGCAGGCTTTCAAATCCATTTAGACAAATAAGTACTTCTGTGAAGTGTTGATGAATAACAGAATTTAAATGTCAAGTCATTATGAAACTAAAGATCACAGATGAAAGCATTTTAAAAGACTTTCTTTTATTCAGCTAAAACTCACATCACTCAATAATAAAAGGGACTTTTTATGACTACCATAGCTCTGACTAGCTATATAATATGAAAGAGATAAATGATAATAACGTAAATGGTATGCCCATATTCAAAATGTAGGACTGTTGATGTCATGTGGATCAAAGCTGTAAGGGAAAGAAAACTTCTAAGGAGCTATTTCACAGTAAACACATTTTCTGTAAAATGTCATGCTCTGGATTGTGTCATTGAGTATGTGCAAACCACACTAATCGTATGTAGGCAGCAAAACTGGTGAACATATGTAATCAACATGATAAAAGTTAATATATGATCCTTACTAGAGCTGGCACTCTTGCCAGACATAAAAGTATGGCTGCAAATAATACCAAGTGAGAAAAGTCGCAGAAATACAGATGAACAAGTGTCTTGTACTTCCTTTTGGTCTGTTTTTCAGATGTGGCAATATTTTTTTAAAAAGTACTTCATAGTGCTCTTCAATAGAAGTTACAAACATCAAAATGCTTTCCCAGCGGTAAAACATTTACTGCCTAGAAAATGACAGCAATTTTACTTTCTGTGAAGCATAGGAATTTTTAGGACGGCAGGGAGACCATGAAATATCTCCAGTTTCTCATCTCTTCTGTTATTAGAAGTTATATTAAATACTTTTTATCCAAATGCTTGTCAAAATTCCATTTTGAAATATTTAAATTATTCCATTCCCTCATATATTTATGCTTAGTAGCTGAACCATTATTTTAAGTGAGGTCTCTGTCACTTATCACATTAAGATCTCTTCTGTGAAAGTTCCCTGTATCTTGGCACTAGTGACTGTTATGGACAAGGAGATTGAGATCCAAACTGGCACCTCTGCTCACAGATCTCTTTCTCGCTTGCCCTGGCTTGTGTTTCCATGGGTCCTCCACTTTCAGGGTGGGAAGAACCCCAAGTGTTCCCTGCTCTGTGAGAGCAAAGATGAAAGTACATCCTGCAGTCCTCTTCCCACCTAAAACCAACTTCCCCCTGGCCTTTTTTCTTAAACTTGAACCTACAAGGTCTAGCCACTGTATTGCTGTCATCAGGGCTGTTGTTTAGGGCAACTGTGTGGCTGTCTTTGCAGAAACACTGAAGGACTCAGTGAGCCAGATACTCATTGAGGTAAATGAATATAAATCCACTGAAGTTAATTAAAGTTATGCTAATTTACACTATCTGATAATCTAGTCTTTGCATCTGTGAATGCTTCTTGAGTGCGTGTTCCAAGCAGATGGTCATTTTTTCAATCAGTTGTTCCATCCTTTTCTGTTATCTTGACTGTTTTGTAAAGCAGTATACTAGTCTTTTAGCAACATGTGTTTGGTTCTCCTCGTTCTATAGCCCAGAATGTTGTCTTTTGTTTTGTAACGCTTTAAATTTTGGTGTGCGTTTTTTAACTGTGCTGACAAGAAAAGTATCTAGATAGGGTAAAAAGAAGTGTTAGGTCATAAATATCTTCCATCTTTCTGTCACTGGTCTCATCTTTTGTGCTTCAGTGTCGCATTCCTTGGTTCTATAATATACTCTTCAGCAGATACTACTATCTGCAGTAGTTTTTCTGTATATACTTCATTGCTTGTCAGTCCTATTTCACAATATATCTCAAAGACAAATCTCTCTCTCTGTCTCTTCCTCCTCTCCTTTCCCCTCCATTTAATCATGCAATTATATTATTTTCAACAATTATAAAAATCATTTGGGGACCTAATGTACCTGAAGGCCATTTTACAAAATTGTATTATTTGAGACTGCAATCCTTTAGTTATTGGGGGAGGGGAGAGGTTAATGTTCTGAGAGAGAAACAGCAAATTTAATTGCATCAGTAATGGTAAAATTCTATCTCAATGCTAAAGTATTAAGCTCTTTGCTTTTTCTAACTGGGATTTGTCTGTGGTTGCAAGCATAATGTAGTTTTAGAAACTTAATGGATGAGGTCTACTTAGTCCTCATTCAGCAATGGCTATTGGTAAAGAAGTAGAATTCCAAAAGGAAGTCACTTTAAAACCCTTGACAATGCAAAGATTTTGTGTAATTAGGGCAGGGGACAAAATCCACAATCTGGAAAAGAGTAAAGATGTTCTTGAAGATGTATATTTAAGGGCAGTCTTCTGTTGCCCAGACCCTAAATTTCCTTTTCTGAAATAAGCTTTTCGCTGTCTGGAAGGACCCAAACCTGGGTTGGAAGGATAGCGCCAAAATGGCAACTGTATTATGGCTAACTAATGCCAGTAGGAGTGGTCAAAACCAAAAACCTGTACAGTTTAATACATGCATTTTGTTTAGAGGATTGTTAGTAAATACTAATAGAAATATCTGTGATGAACAGAGTTTTAAACAGTAATAAAATATTGATAATACAATATCATAATAATCCCAACATGTCGTCTTCTTCTTTGTAATTCCCCTCCCTGCTCCAATTCCCTGGTTTTAATATAATATAAGAAAATAAATCATCGGCAGAACCACTGACTTTACAGTGTTTCTGAAGCTGGGAAACAGACTTTTAATTTCTGGTGTCTCTTTGGTTCAAACAGTCTTCTGTTTAGGTCTGTGATACAATCATATGGAATTGGTGCTACTTTTGTAGTATTCCTCAGGAAGAATGCTTTTCTCCTCCCATTTAACACTCATACAGGAAAATAGCTTTCTTACTCAGCTTGAAAGGGAAACTAAATTGGAAAAGGAGTCTTAGAAAAGCATCCCATCCCAAAAGTTTCCATGCCGATATTTTATCAGGTAAGTGTAGGAAGTTGGTAAGAAACATATTGACAGGTAACTCCATATAAGTTTTTAGCATATCAAATCTCAAGGCCCTCTCCTCTCTTCTGTTTGTTGTTATGTCTCCTTCCAGCAAACATTCTCCCTGGAATGTCTTTTTTCTGTCTTCAGCTCAATAAATGTTGCTGTGGTCACTCTGTCATATTTCTACAGCAGAGCTGAAGCTATAGTCAGTCAGCTCTCTAAGTACCTAGTGATTACCAGAAGGCACAAGAGAGAAATGAATATAGAAGTTACGATATGCTGGAGAAATGTGGCTAGTCATCATTACGGTTACATACGTATGTACTTTACAGAATGGCAGGAGTTCTCAAGTGAGATTTCACAAAGGTCCGTTTAACATTTTTATTAATTACTTGGATTCAGAAACAGACATCTTCAGAGATTTAATAGATGTTAGGGTTGGAAGGGACCTTGAAGATCATCAAGTCCAGCCCCCTGCCCCAGGGGCAGGAAGTCAGCTGGGGTCAAAGGATCCCAGCAAGATAAGAATCGAAACACTTCTTGAATGAGTCCAGAGTAGGTGACTGCACCACTTCTGGAGGGAGTCTATTCCAAGTCTTGGGGGCTCGGACAGTAAAGAAATTTTTCCTTATTTCCAGCCTAAAACCAGGTCTTGGAGGAGTTTATGACTGTTGGTCCTTGTTTTTCCTTGGGACGCTCTGGGGAACAGGCATTCTCCCAGATCTTGATGTACACCCCTTATATACTTATAAGCAGCCACCAGGTCCCCCCTGTGCCTGAGCTTTTCTGGGCTGAAGAGTCCCATGGCTCTCAGCCTCTCTTCATAAGGCCTATTCTCTTGCCCTCTGATCATGCGTGTGGCTCTCCTCTGGACTCTCTCAAGCTTCTCGACATCCTTCTTGAATTGCAGAGGCCAGAATTGGATGCAGTACTCCAGCTGTGGCCTCGCCAAGGCCGACTACAGTGGGAGGATGACATCCTGAGATTTACTTGAGAAGCATCTATGGATGCAAGCCAAAGTATTGTATGCTTTGCTAGCTGTGGCATTGCATTTTTTGGCTCATGTTCACCTTGTAGTCAATCATGACCCCCAAGTCTCTTTCAGCCATGGTGCTAGCAAGCGTAGCACTGCCGAGCCTATAAGCATGCTGCAGGATTTTTCTCCCGAGGTAGAGTACCTTACATTTATCAATATTGAACATCATCAGGTTTGTATCTGCCCACTTACTAAGTTTATCCAAGTTAGCCTGGATCACTAGCCTGTCCTCAAATGTGGACGCTGTGCCCCAAACTTTAGTGTCATTGATGAACTTAGCCAGTGCACTTCTGACACCAACGTCCACATCATTGATAAAGATGTTAAAAAGAACCGGTCCAAGGACAGAGCCTTGGGGGACACCACTGGTCACGGAGTGCCATGATGGTTTGCTACCATTGACCACTACTCTGTGGGTCTGACCTCAGAGCCAATTACCCAGACATCAGACTGTGGTGAAGCCAAGGCCACAGTTGGCCAATTTTTCCATGAGGAGGTCATGGGACACCAGATCAAAAGCTTTTTTAAAGTCCAGATATATGACATCAATCTCTTCTCCGTTGTCCAGGTGATATGTCACCTGGTCATAGAAGGAGATGAGATTGGTCAGGCAAGACCTACCCACAACAAACCTATGCTGGCTCAGGATGTTGCCTTCGGACAACTTATCCAGAAGGGTCTCCTTGATAATTTTCTCCAGAATCTTCCTGGGGATTGAGGTCAAGATGATTGGCCTGTAATTCCCGGGATCTACTTTCTACCCTTTCTTGAAGAGGGGTACCACATTGGCCTTTTTCCAGTCTTCAGGTACTTCACCTGAGCGCCACAAACTTTCGAATATTTTTGCCAATTGTTGGGCTATGACACCTGCCAACTCCTTGAGTACTCTAGGGTATAATCTGTCAGAACCAGCTG